CCAAAACGTGATAATAGACACAAAATAAATACACATATCATTGTAAAATCAATACATTCCTCGATCGCTCAGAATCTAAAAGAAAAATAATAATTTTTCAGAAATAAGAAGCAATAAATAAAATTTAAAAAAATTTAATTTATCATCCACTAAAATCAATTGTTTAAAATGTAATACAAATGATAACTAATAATACATTTAAAATGTACAACGATCTRTATAATCCGMMATTGAAAAGATATTAATTTTATATACYTGTATCAACTATCAATATAACAGGTATTTAAGTAGAAACAAACTACAGGATTTCAGACGTAGAAGTAATGCATATTTTGTAACAAAACAAAAAAATGATTCACTATAATAATAATAATAATATGTCAATTATGGAATGTCTACGTATGATAATTTTAGTCAGTAAACAATAAAACTTACTTCACGCTATTAGATTTATGCAATATTTTTATAACGAACTAATTATTACAAGAACTTAATCTAAATATATTTTGATTTTAGTACATATTATTATACTCAGAAGTCAGAATTTGCTGCTTAAGCATTTCACTAATGTGTATAGAAAACAGAAACAACGAATTTTGAAAATAATTACGATTCCTTCATAAAATACTTAGTAATACTTGTTTTTTATATAATCATTATTGAGAGATCGCTAAATTTACAAATTATTCAAATGAGTATAATAAATTAATGAAATTAAGGCATATAATATAAGCGTTGGCTTGAATTACTTGAGGTTAAACTGTTCAGCAACAGAACCTTCTACTTTGATGGGTTTTGATGTGAAACAATAATTTTTTATTACATATTATTTAAAAAAGATCGTCTCTCGGACATTTTTGTTCGAATTTTCTTTATGTGCTGTTGAGAATGGTGTTAGATGACATATGAGAAATTAGTGGATCTGGTTTTGAGTAAAGTTTGGAATACAACTTTTGTTATGTTGTATTTGTCATAGAACCTACTCATGTCATTGTCGGTCATGTATCATGAGTTTTTAGTGATTTTTCTAAAACATATTATGGATTGAAAAGTTTGAATTGGTCTTGTGTTAGAGGGTTAGATTGGCTCTAGATCTAAATACCATACAACCAGAGACTATTTAAAGTTGTTTTGTATATCAGAATTTTGTTTTTAGGCTAATTGAGGGGAATATTAATGAGCGAAGAAGATGTAGGCGAGTTTTAGATTGTTTTAATTTATTTTTTGTATGTTAGGCCCAAATTATTTGTTTTCTTAAATGAACTCCTAAGTAATTAGTCCATTTTAAATTGGTATCGATTTGTTATTGATGGATAGTTGGTCCCAATCGTTATGGTTGAGAGTAAAATTAACTTGAACTGATTTGTTTTTGCTTATTTTAATTTTCCATGCATATGTCTAATCAAGTAACTACGAGTTTATAAAAAATAAAAAWAAAAACAAAAATATTTTGTTCATAAAAAATATTGTTTCCTTTTAATTTTAAAAATAATAACTAAAGATAAATAATTATTTTTRTTAAATTCGT